AAGAGTGCCAGCTCGCCTTCGACGACCTCAAAAATTATCTAACCAGTGTCCCGGTTCTGACCCGACCAGAGGAAGGAGATATTTTGAAATTGTACATCTTTGCGAGTCACGAGGTAGTCAACTCGGTACTGATAAAAGAAGTAGATCAGGTCCAACAACCCATCTACTATGTTAGTAAAGTTTTGTAGGATGCAGAAACCAGATACCCAAAGATAGAGAAACTGTATAGGAATATGCGTAAAAAGAGAGAAAGATTTAAGGGTACTTCCTTGAATTCCTTGTTGAGATCCTACAGATGTGAGATATGATTAAAAAAAACACACTTATAAATAACAAACAAAAAATGATAACTGAACAAAACAAACAAAAACTGAACTCAATGGGTTGCCTCCTACAAGCGCTCCTTTTAAGTTGTGATCTTGACTTTCACCTTTTTTTTTCGTGGCGGTTTCAAGGAGAGAATGGACCCATGGTGGATGGGTTGCTCTCCTTCAATATAATGCTTTAAATGCTGCCCATTTACCTTGAATGTGTTTCCCTTACCATTATGCAGTTCAATCGCTCCATGAGGGAATGCCTTAGCCACTACAAAGGGTCCACTCCACCTGGTTTTTAACTTCCGATATTTCCCCCCCTCATCCTTCATGGGTGGGTTTAATCCTGGAATAGGGGCCTGCACAATAGATGGGAGGAGTTTTGTGTGAGATGGAGGTAAACTAATAAAAGATGCATTATGAGTTGTAACTTCAAAAGAGTCTAGCTCAGAAGTCAAATTTCGCAGTTCTGATTTCAGTACAAACTTCTGCTCTTCTTGTTGCAATTGATTAGGACTATTGTTAAGTGCAACTTTCAACGTGTCTTCTAATTTTGATGTATCTACTTCACCTGCCCAAACATCAATGCAATCAATTGCATATATTTCATGTTCAACTGTGTTGGGACATTTCATGGTTTTAAATACATTAAACACCACTTCTTCACCATTGATTCTAAGAGTAAGTAGACCATCTTTCACATCAATTAAAGCATTACCCATAGCAAGAAAGGGTCTCCCTAGAATCAACGGCATTGTCCTATCTTCCTCCATATCCAACACAATGAAATCAGCAGGAATGATGAAATTACCCACTTTGACTAAAACATCTACTATTCCTCTAGGATATTTAATGCTTCGATCAACTAGTTGTAGGGTAATAGTTGTAGATGTTAGTTCATGCAGTCCAAGCTTTTCAAAAATAGAATAAGGCATTAAATTTATACTAGCACCTAAATCGCATAAAGCTTTTTCGAATTCAGTATTTCTTATGGTCCAAGGTATAGAAAAACTCCCTGGATCCTTAAGCTTTTGGGGCAATTTCTTTTGAAGACTGGCTGAGCACTCTTTGTTTAACTTCACCATCTCACAGTCCTCCCATTTCCTTTTGTTCGATATCACCTCCTTCAAGAATTTGGCATATTTTGGCATCTGTGACAATACATCAAGAAGGGGGAGGTTAATATGTATTTTTTTAAATACATCTAAAAACTTCTCAAATTGTCTATCCAAGTTAACTTTCAAAATTCTTCCAAGGTAGAGGATAGGGAGTTTAATAGAATCTAAATTCAGTTTAGGTGTACTCCCTTCAGTCTCCTTTTGCAAATCGGCCACATCATCTTCCTTGTCATCCTTCTGGGTTTTGCCAACTGTCTTCCCACTTCTTAAAGCTATGGCGTTTATTTGCTCTCTGGGATTCTTCACCATGTTGTTGGGTAGTCGTCCCTCTTTTCTTTTCGAAACAGATTTACAATCTGCCCCATTTGAACTTATAAGTTCTTGATCGATGCTTCCTGTTCTTGGAATTTTGCTTCAGTAGCATTGATGAATTTAGAAATCATCTCTTCCAAATTTCTCTTTTTTTCTTGTGGGGGCGGCTGTTGTTGGAATCCCATTGGTGCCTTTTGCTGATTGTTGCTCCATGAAAAGTTTGGATGAATCCTCCACCCTGGGTTGTATGTGTTTGAGTAGGGATTGAAATTCGACCTGCCAGCATGAGAGATAAAACTAGCATTCTCATGTGAAGTAAAATGACTACTTAATGGACAATCAGAATTAGTATGTCCTATTTGACCACAAAAATCACATGGGATGCTAGAAGATGTATTAATTGCTGCAATATTAAAAGCATCAAGTTTTTTGTTCAGATTAGCGAGTTGAGCAGATATGGCAGCAAG